TCATTGTTGTTTGGCGGGCCCGGGCTGGGGATTCGAACCCGCCACCTTGGGTGTATGTGACTGGCGCCTTAGCCGCTTGAGCCACAGGCGCCGAGCCGCTTTCACAACTTTTTAAATTAAATGTTAAAAATCCACGCTTCTTTCAAAAAATTGAGATCTGTTAATGCTGATTGTTTGGTGATGATGAAATTACAATATAGGATCTTTTTCCTATTTAAATCAGATTTAGCTTTAAACATTAGAACACAGATAGAGTTTATGATCCAAGACAGTCAAAAATAGAGTCACGTATCACTTACTGAAGGACATACATTCTGAGAAACACACGATTTTATCACTGTATGAACACCACCGTGTACAGACACAAACCCAGATGGTACAGCCTACTAGACTATATGGGAGAACCTCCATGTATTACTCCTAGGCTACAAACTGGACAGTGTCTTACTGTATGAATACTGTGGCAACTTTAACAAAATGCTAAGTACCGGTGTATCTAAACTTATCTCAACATAAAACAGGTAGAGCAAAAGCAGTGTATTATAATCTTATGGGACCAGCATTGTCTATGCTTCTGTTGTTGACTGAAACGTGTTATGTGGTCCATCACTGCATCTAAAAGTCGGGGGGAATTGTGGAAAGCAGTCCACAATTGTTATTCGAATTTTGAACAAGTATCTAATTTTTAAAGCCTATCTTACCACTCTTATTCCTATTCCTAAGTTTTGTCAGAAAACCCACATATATGGAATAAAAGACATCAAAGACACTTGTTTTAAGAAGAATAAAAATGCCTATGAAAAATAACATTTATTCTACAGGGATGTTGTTCCTTCAAACTTTCTGAAATTGCTTTTCAATTTAGGACCTCATGGTCTACAAAGAAATAAACTTCATCTAGTTTATACTCAGAACCATTACCTCACAGCCTAGTATTTGCTAGGTTATGATTTAGTGTTCCCAATTAAATCCACCCCCAAAGGATTGCCCTTTTGGCATCTCCAGAAGTCCTGGAGTCTTTCCTGGCTTTAAAGCAATTGCCAGGTGCCCCCACAATCTTGGTGAACCATGGCAACAGTATGTGTCCTTGGCTCTGCATGTGACCCACTGCTCTACAGCAGCCACCACCTCATCTTCGTGATCAGGCCTCATCTATTAGACAAAAGCCATCAGCACAACTGGTTCCAGCACACTGTGTATTAATTACCAACTGGTGTCAACTGGTGTCTATATTATACAATGCTGGATTATGAAAACTAGGCAATATCTATTATTATACACACGTAAGATTTAGTATGACATATGTTAAGAATCAACTTAATGTTCTATCTTCTGGCTTTTTTTCTCCATGCCTAAAAGCTCATCAATAAGGCAATGTTTTGGTTTGAATAACTGCAGGGTATTTTCATTATCTGTCTTCTCCTTGATGTCACTGCTGCCTTTTGTCATCTCTCTGGGACCTGATTATCTGTACCAGCTCTCCTTGATCAATATGCATATACTTCAGCAGTGGTTCCCCACTCTTTTATGTTCTTGGTCACAGACTAAGAACACTCTCTGGCAGAGGCTGCTGAGTTACTGGTGAGGAGTAACACACCCTAAAGAGCCACAGCTTGAAGTATCATTTCCCATTCAGCAGGTTTCCCAACTCACCACTACTGACACTCTGGGCTGGACAGTTCTTGGCTGTGAGCTCTACTGTGCTTCCAAGATATTTAACAGCATCCCTCGCCTTCTCTATTGGATACCAGTAACAACTCCCTCCCCCCACTGTGATAACAAAAATGTACCCAGACACAGACAAATGTCCCCAGAGGGCCACATCAATCGCAGCTAAGAACCACTGATGTAGATCCAAGCAACTCACATGACAACTCACTGGACACACTCTAAAACTCTAGTCAAAACAGAGGAGAGTCTGATGCCAGTAAGCCTTCCTGGAGCACACTTACATGAGGGAAGATGGAGGCCGGCACTCTTCAGTAATGTCGTTCAAGATGACATGGGCGTCCTGCATCTCCTCCCTCTCACCCTTCCGCTCAGCCACATAGCCTTTCAGACCAAAGATCACCGAAGAAGCTAAGGAATAAAGGACAAAGAAGCCAATACAAAACTGTGCTCCAGCACCTGGAAGCCCTAGTCCCAGAGCAAATGAGAGGAAACTATGGCTGTTTTACTCAGCAATGTCCTACCTGCACCCCTCAACGAGTGTCCCTAGCTGTAAGTCTGTAACTAAAAAAGTTTGCTGTTTCCCTTTATTGCTTTTAATTCTCTTCCCCTCTAACTTGGACAAGTTATAAAACTGACTACAACCCAGGTGCACAGGCTGGGTTCTGAGAGGCTAGACGGTGGGACAGAGATGTGTGAGACTAGCCAGTGAGCACAGAACAGCTCCACATAGGGCCCAAGTCGAGGGAGCAGGGCAAGGGAAGTGCTCTTACCCACAGAAGTGGGATTCAAGTCAGGGGAGAGGATCATGTGTAAATCCAGTCTTTTGATAATTTAGTGAGGACAAAGATTCCTAGTTTAGAAAAAAGTCAGTCAACAGAGCTTGCCCCAAATGTCCAGTTAAGATTCCCTGAAAATATGCACTTCTGTGCTCAAGGGTGGTGAAGAACCTGAACAAATGTTAAGATCAGTTGCTTTTACTTCAACTGAGGAAGAAAAAGATAAAGGAGTCCAATGCAGGCACAGGGATCTATTTACATTTAATGGCTAGGCTAGTTTAAGCTCATTTTCTGACACCTAGAGCCAGGTGTAATGATAACACTTGCAAGGACTGTCCTCTGGGAACGGACAAGCTAAGCTGTCTTCCCAGAGCTATTGGTAGGCCTTTCCCCTCCCTCCACGTGCATCCTACAGCTTTTATGGAGGTAATGCACAGCAAAGGACAAAGGAGTCTGGTGCAGGAAGTGCAAATCCACAGCTGTTTCCCTTTAGTGCTTTTAATTCTCTTCTCCACTAACTCTCACAAGTTATAAAACTGACTTCAAATTTCAATTTGAAGCCTAAGCTTTTTCCAGGCTTAGGCTCTCTCTCAGGAAGCCAGTTACTAAGATGAATCATAAAGTTTAAAGTGAAAATTGAGAGGTTGTGAACAAAGACCGGAAGAGAGACTGGTTAATATACTAATCCATCTTTCTTTGCAGAAGGCAAAGAGAACCACCTGTGTTTATTAATGCTTGAGGAACAAATGTTGGTTTCCTACCTGACCAAAGGTAGGGTTAGAGATAGGCATGAAAAGTAAAAAAGTGAAAGCATAGGTAAATTAGGAAATTAGTTTGCAGAAAGAAATCCTACTCCCTTCTTAAATACATACATAAAAAGAAAGTAGTATAATTAGAAAGCTGAGATTGTTTTTGCTCTGGGTTGTTTTAAAATATGAGTCTAATACATTTGTTTTCAAACTGTCTGAAAACCTTTACAAACTTTCTTTTCCACAAGCTCTTCACTGCCATTCTTCTCCTCCTTGGAGGTTTTTCTCTTTGCTCCTTTCCCTTCATTCTTTACCATCTGGGGTATCGATGAGGCAAGAGAACCTGGAAACAAAATAAAGCCAGATGGAAACACAGCTGTAGACTGTTACAGTCACCAGCATACTAGGGTTCATTCCCGCACTCGGAGACAGAATGGCATTTCAAGGAAAGACTGGCATACTCAATAGCTGTAACTTTGTGGGGTGAGGTTGGGGGTGGGGGAGGCAGGCAGTACTGCATACCCACAGTGGAAGAACTCAATTTAAGATATAGGTCCTGAGTCAGATTGACCCTGGAAAGATTTGTAAAAACACACATACATATTTTTGGCTTGTAGCTATATGTGATGTTTTACTTTCATAGGCCTTTACTGATAAACATAAATTTCCAAAATCTGTAAAACACATCCCAGACAAGTTCAAAAAAGTAACAAATGCCCCCAAAACACTGCAAATGATATAAATGTCAAGCTTTAAGAATAGTAATATATCCCGAAAAGCAAAATAGGCCTGCTGCAGCTGTTCCTAATTGCAGAGGGGTGGATCCGTACTCAAAGCCAGACCCAGGGGAACCCGCAGTGAATGTGTTTAGGATGAGAAAAGTGTAGGTTCAAAGAGGTATGTCCTTAAGGCAAGTTGTTTAATCTTCCAGCCTTAGTTTCTTCACCTGTAACATGATGAAAATATTACCACAGAGGGCTGTTTGAAAACTGAAGGGGACAAAGTATGTAAAATATTTGTCACAGTGCCTGGTAGATCAAGTGTCCAATAAATTGCTGCTGCTGCCCTAATGAATAAGTCTAAGTATTGTCCACATTTAGGTATAAGAGTATATAACCAATTATTCAACCTATTCTTTGCCAGACATTTGAGTGCTAAGGAAAAAGAATAAAGAAAATGTCCTTGCCCTCAAGAAGAGTAATTACTTGCACAAAGATACATCTCTGCAACAAGATAACATGCGACCTGCATAGGAAGGCCAAGTAACAGAAAAGGTCACGGAGTTTTCCACCAGAATCTCTCCCCAGAGTTTCTCCATTAATGTTCTATTTTATTGTATGGGTTTCAGTTTTCTTTTTTTTTTGAGACAGAGCCTCAAGCTATCCCCCTGGGTAGAGTGCTGTGGCATCACAGCTCACAGCGAGTCTCCTGCCTCAGACTCTCAAGTAGCTGGGACCACAGGCGTCCGTAACAACGCCCAGCTATTTTTTTTGGTTGCAGCCATCATTGTTTTGGCAGGCTCGGGCTGAATTCGAACCCGCCACCTTAGGTGTATGTGGCTGGCACCTTAGCCACTTGAGCCACAGGCGCCAAGCCAGTTCCAGTTTTCTTAATGTACATCTGAAATTACCTTCCTTTCTTTTAAATTCTAAAACAGTAATTTCACAGCTTCATTATTGACTTCTAAGCAAATCATACTGTAGCCAGAGAAAGTGATCTACATATGAAACAGATTCTTTATTGGGACTTATTTTATGACCTACTACATAGTCAATGTTTGTAAATGGTTCATCCCTGCTTGAGGAGAATGTATCATCTATCTTCTCAAGAAATCTAAAATATTGGATGCAAAAGTCAAGCTTGCTAATAGTGGTATGTAAATCTTTTAAATTGTTACTAGTTAACTGTCTTTTGTGCCCCACAGATCAGTGATAGCCATGTTAAATCTTAATTTCTTTCATTAAATCCGTAAAAGCCTTCCTTATTGGCACATATTAACTTTCATTATAATTCAGAGTATAGTCTTTACTCGGAAGGTAACAATGTACACTATGTGAATGCTGTAATGTTTTGGTATGGGCCTATAGCCCTGAAAATTTGAGAAATCTCATGTAAGATGAATGTAACCTTGTTTCTAAAACACATGTAGGCAAGTGGCTCACACCTATAATGCCAGCAATTTGGAAGGCTGAGGTGGGAGATTTGCTTGAGCTGGGGAGTTCTAGAACAGCCTCAACAAGAGTGAGACAGCATTTCTACAAAAAAATTAAAAAATTAGCCACAATCAGGAATTGTGGCAGGTGCCTGTAATCACAGCTTCTTGGGAGGCTAAGGCAGAACTGCCTGAGCCCAGGAGTTTGAGGATATAGTTAGCTATAACAATGCCACTGCACTGCAGCTTGGACAAAGCGAGACCCTGTCTCAAAAACTAAAATAAAATATAGGAAACGTATTAACTTAATCTATACTTTCCAAACTGACTCCAATGATTTTATGGTAATAAATTAATTGTACAAAATAAAATACTTGAAAAGCAGCCAAGTGATCTATTTGACAACAAAAGGTCTCACACTGAAAGGCAGATGTGGGTGAGAGGTAGAGTAGGCTGGCATTCCCCGTGAAATCTTGAGCAGGTTATGGCCCCTGATTACCCCTGCCCCAACAATGCAGCCTAAGGTGGCAAAGGGGGTTTGGAATGTCCAACAAAATAGATGAAAAAGTAGTCTGGGGAATGTCTAGATAAAAATCAACAACTTATGGCTGGCACCTGTGGCTCAGTGGGTGGGGCACAGGCCTCATGTACCAAAGGTGGCGGGTTCAAGCCCAGCCTCAGCCAAACTGCAAAAACAACAACAAAAATAGCCAGGCATTGTGGTGCGCCTGTAGTCCCAGCTCCTCGGGAGGCTAAGGCAGGAGAATTGCCTAAGCCCAGGAGTTGGAGGTTGCTGTGAGCTGTGATGGCATAGCACTCTAATGAGAGTGATAAAGTGAGACTCTGTCTCTAAAAAAAACAAAAAACCCCCCAACAACTTAGAGACAGGATATAAATAAAACTAGAAAGTAATTGATAATTGCCCCTGGAGATACCTGGCAGCTGCAGGCACCATAACCTGTAGACTATAACTTTCCCTCATTAAATTCTCCCCAAAGTATTTATTCTTTGATATGTAGCTTAGTACTTCCCTGTCCATTAGTGAGTATCTTTCTTCCTTCAACAAAGAAATGCCTGTTTAAGTGAAACAGTTAACTTCTTACTTTTTGCCTTGTGTATATAATCCTGAATTTTTTTTTTTTTTTTTTGCAGACAAAGTCTCAAGCTGTTGCCCTGGGTAGAGTGCTGCGGCATCACAGCTCATAGCAACCTCCAAACTCCTGGGCTCAAGAGATTCTCTTGCTTTAGCCTTCCAAATAGCTGGGACTATAGGTGTCCAACACAACACCTGGCTATTTTTTGGTTGTAGTTGTCATTGTTGTTTGGCAGACCTGGGCTGGATTTGAATCCACCAGCTCTGGTGTATGTGGCTAGCGCCCTAGCTGTTTGAGCTACAGGCGTGGAGCCACACTCCCCAAATTTGTAGTAAATAGCTTTGGATTCTGGGCTTGAGAGTGCCTGATATGGTGTTGTGGTGTCATCTCTCACGGGTCAGAACACTGTATGTGTGTGTATAAATTTCACAGTGTTTTCCTCTCCCTTTGTTTGCGAGACCCCAGGCAGTCAGGCAAGGTTCCCACTTAGAGAGGAACTCCCAGTCTGCCTTATTACAACTCAGTTCTCAGTCTGCAACAGGTAAGTACATATAAAACAGGACAACTTGCATCCCCACTCTTCCCACACCATCCACCCCAACCCTTCCCTCAAATCCCTCACCAGAGAACTCCAGCTAAGAAATTCTCAGTGAGATGGAATAACATATTTGCCATAATGACAAGAGGAATCTGCTCTATTCTTCTCATTTACTTAACTGGGACACAAAAAGAAAAATTAAACATTTTTAGGAGCTGGTGAAGCCAATGCTAATAGGTTTGAACATCTGGGAATGTCAGGAACATAACAAGGGAAATCAGAATAAGAACTTGAGACAGAGTCTCACTTTATGGTCCTCAGCAGAGCGCCATGGCATCACAGTTCACAGCAACCTCCAACTTCTAGGCTTAGGCAATTCTCTTACTTCAGGTTCCCAAGTAGCTGGGACTGCAGGCGCCTGCCAGAATGCCTGGCTATTTTTTGTTACAGTTTGGCTGGGACTGTGTTTGAACCTGCCACCCTCGGCATATGGGGTTGGTGTCCTACCCACTGAGCCATAGGCACCACCCTAAAACATGTTAATACTGAAGTTCAGAGTAAATAACTGAACTCTTTAAACTTTTTTTTTTTTAAAAGACAGGGTCTCCCTCTATTGCCTGGGTTAAAGTGCACTGGTATCATCATACCCCACTATAACTTCAAATTCCTAGTGTCATGATCCTCTTCTCTCAGCCTCCCAAGTAGCTGAGACTACAGGGGCATGCCACCATAGCTGGCTATTTTTATTCTGTGTAGAGGCAAGGTTTTGTTATGTTGCCCAGGCTGGTCTCAAACTCCTGGCCTCAAGCAATCCTCCTACCTTGGCCTCTCCAAGTACTGGGATTATAGGCAAGAGCC